CTGAACTTCTGAGAAACTATGTCGGCTCATGTGAACATTCGTTTTTTGGGCGCTATTTGCACTGGTGATGCCACGAAGTAGCTTATCAGGTTCGTGATAAGTGTCCTTAACAGCATCGCGATTGTAGTCAGTGGGAGTATAATCGACACCCATCGGTGAACAGCGCTCCGATCTGCTCCATGTGGTTACCGTAGTTTGGTCACACACACACACACACACACACACACACACACACAATTGTTCGCAGGAATTCGGTCAGCCAGTTCTAGCTCAGCACTGAAACTGCGGACACGGCTCAATTCAGCTTGACTCTAATGTTGTTGCATCAGAATCTCGGGGTGCGCGCACCCAGTATCGAGAGAACGAGTTGGGTGCATTTAGCTTTACAATCGTGTGAGCGTCATTTGCTCCTACTTTCGGACAAGCAGCACTCAGGGTTTCCAGCGTACGTGTAAATACAGCATATAGACTCACCCGACTAGCATATCGTGCAGCTGTAATAGGCATCGAATGCGCAGGAATTAGTGACGTGACTCCGTTCACGTACCTGATGGAGCAACACAAGCGTATGTCTACAAGCTCTCTATCCTCAGTATTCGGTATTCAGCTGTTTAACAGTAAGAACGGTGTGCACCGTCATCATCATACACGTGAGCTTGAAGTGACAAACACAGCTGTTGTGTCGCAATACATTAGAAAAGCAAAAAAATGCTATGGCCCGCCTGCTGTATCACCAGTAACGGATAGACATCGTTCCGGAGAGCTAACAGCTGGATATTGTGCCGCAAAATGAAGTATTATATTATACATGTAAATTGAGATCGTGGTTGAAGAGGAACTTAAGCAGGAGTGGAAGAGACGAAGAAACGCGCAATACAAACGCCATTGAGGTCGGCTCCCGGCCATATCAACAGGTGTATCCAGCTAAGGTTGTTCGTCTTTCGAACCCCAACCAGAGAGCTGAGGCCAGCTTCGAACTAATCGTCTTCATAGCTTGACCACCTCTCCTCTTCTACGCTGTGCACCACATTGGGAACAGAGCATTGTGGCCTGACAAAAGGCAGTTGATGGTAGGGATTCAATCGGTAGTGCTACTAGGTAGCCGGGCAGGATAGTTGAGAAACAAAGGGAAATAAAATAAAAATAATTTCAAATATACACGCTACATACCTAGGGTTTCATTACTTACCGTCGAAACGGAACTGGACTTTAACGTGATGCGACGCTTTGCATATTTCTTCGATCGATCGAGCTATGCTGATTGGTGCCGTCTGGCCCTTTATGAACTGCCTCTACCAGCCTAGTCATTGGTTATAGACAACAGAAATTCAGCTTTCTAGCTCGGTGCGTTAAATGTTACGACTTCAGCGGAACCAATTTCAGTAAAACCAAATCGTTGCTATATTCCCACTGTTTTGCGGTCAACTTGTTGAACCCAAGTCTTTCATCTGACGATTTCGATTCCTTTTTATTCATATTTATTCTTATTACCATCACTCTTATTTATTATGATCCAGCTCACTGTTTTTGTGGTACTAAGTTTGTTCGAGTTAGATGGGTTCCAACCGACTGCAACTTGATGCGTCGTGGTACATTAGAACTCGGGATACTGATTCTGTGAAGTACATTGATCAACTCAGCACCAAACCAGACAAACTACTTCTGGCAAGATGAATAGAATCACAATTACAGGCAGGACTTAAAAAGTGTATATCAGTTCCACAGTTGCGTGTTCGTGTGCTCTCGACATAAATAATTTTCATTCAATACCTTAATATAAACTTATAACCGACTGGAAATTCATTATATCAGGGAGTTTTATATTACAAACCGGTTTTGTAGCGACTTGTATTGGGGCTACATTTCACTCTCAACACAAAACCTCTTTAGGTCAGCTGAACTATTACCTACTTGGCTTGGTTTTTATAACAAATTGGGATAACTGCGAGAAATATCCCGACTCAGTGGGTAGTTATGGTTACGGTTTCAGTGAGTCATTCTAGCTGTACCATGTGCATAGAACGGTCCCAGTTGATGCGTACCACAGACACTATTGTTCTTGTTCCTCTTGATTCTACTGATGATAATTCGACGTTTTCGATCCAACCGGAATCCGACCGCCGACGCCGTTCAGACTGGCGCCTCGCGTTCGATAGCTCCACCCCGTCTATTCTGTCCACGCAGTTATCTGTCTGGACAATTTCTACCGCCTCAGCAATTATTCTGTTTTTTTTGTTCAAACCCCCCTCCGTACAATCTCTAAATTATCCCAGTCGATTTCGTGTTCCGAGTCCATCGCGTGTACCGCTACTGCTGAATCTTTTAGCAATCCCTCGTTTTCTGGTTCGTGTCTCTTGTACTCTGCTATCCTTTGAGCAGTTCTCTCGCTGTTTGGCCTATGTACACATATGCACAGTTTTCTCAACTAATTTAACGCACGTATTTGGTTGTTCTATCTCTCGGAAGTTGCTACTTCAAACGCACCATTGCTTAAAAGAGTGTATCTCATTGGAAAATCACTTATCTTCTTGTTAGGTGCCCACTTGGTCTCTTTAAAAACTTTCTCTTTGTATGAGATTCCCACTTACTAAATTCACTCCGTCGTACGTCGTGAAGTTGGATTGTGTACTCTCTGCGACTGACGTTTCACCGGCTGCTTCGGATATTCATTGCCTATTAATTTGTTTACTGCCTCTTTCCGTTCTGCCCTCCTGTCGTTTCCCTCCGTTACAAAGTCCGGACCTCGTGAAACTGAGAGGACGCAATCTCAGCATAGACATGTTTTGGATGACCTGCTATATATTATAGTACTGTAACCACAATAATTCACCGACTCGGGATATTGCTCGCAACCATCAAGCCAGTTATATAATACTTCACCTCACCTAAACATGCTCTTGTGTCAAGAGCAAAACGTAGTGGCAATCCAAGTCTTTACAAATCCCATTTATATTCTAGGTCCTTCCGAAACAATGTCCTTTTTCACAAAACAAACTCAAGTTTCGTGGGTGTTTTTGAACCTTCCTCATCTTTACATGCTCACCTATAGTCAGTTGCCCGTTTGACTCGAACACACTGTTTGTTCTCTTTTGGTGCGCAGTCTCAAGCTTTGATATCGTCTCGCTTCATGTTATACTAGAGTTAAGTTTGCCATAACCCTTCCAGGTATTATTTTACTGAAGTGGAGGGTTTCGGTGTGGCTCTCTTCCATCGCTGCACTCCACGACTGACAGTTTCGTCTTGGTTTGGACTCATCAGGTAGAGATAGCCGAGCGAGGAGTGGAACTCAGCTCACAGTGCTTGGCGGCTGTCGCCGTTGAGCTCCGCTAGCAGAAGATCACAAGATAGTCGAACACCCAGTCTGTAAAGTCATTAGATTATGGTTTAACCCGATTGGAGTTCCTCAATGCTGTGCATTCTTTCGGTCCTCTGCTAACAACCGAACCCATGACCGCTATCTGCTTGCGTCAACTCGCCAGCTGCTTATGGTACTGAGCCATGGAAATAGTTGCAGACCGTTATAACTTTCAGGTTAGCTGGGACGTAGCACATCCTACTTTCTACTACCATATGGCTACTACCATTACAGCGGACAGTGGTTGATCTCCAGTTCACGACTTGCAGTACACAGCAGCCATGGAGGTATGACATTTGAAGACTATGATGGCGAATTTTTGATTACTAATGTGTAGGAGAATGTTAAGTTGCTTTTGTCGGTTCGTCCTAGCTGCTCACAAGCTTACAAGTTACGACTGTCTCCCACCTTCCCCCATGGCTCAGTGTCATAGGCTGCTGGTTTGTGAATAGTTGAGACGAAGCAGTAACATTTCATCTAAAAACCCCTTACTCATGAGTTGGTGACGCGTGAAAGTAACTAACTAGCTGCACGGCACCTTGGTGCGCAGATGAACTTAACAGAATAAACTGAAACGGAATTGCTCAGCCATCACCCGGATACTTAAGCCAATGAATTCAGCTGCTGTGAATCGTCTCATTATGGTGCTAAGTCAACGGCCATTAGAACAATAGGGTTGAAAACGTAGAATGGCATACGAACCACACCTCATAGGAAAAAGACGAAAGTAAGGTTGAATATTCGAGATGGAATGCCTTAGTAAGTACACAGTAGGCCGAATGCGACATGTCAGATGACATCTCTGAGGACACTATCAGGGCGCTGTCAATCCTAGTTGGTGAACAGTATTCTCTCTTCCCACTGATTTCATCCATTCGCCGCCTCCATTTGGACCGCTTTCCGTTGAACGTTTAACTGCGTACTATTTACCGGAAGCATCCTCGACAGTAAGTCGGGAGACGAAAGTGGGGGGGAGATAAACTAGACTGTGGAAACTCGGTAACTAGCTGAATCGATATGAGATTTGCAACATTGCGCACTTTGCTTCTTACTCTCATTGTAATCGTTTCATTTTGGCTACACTCGTTACTCATTTGCTTCTCGCATTTTGTGCTTTTGGTGGGATGAGTACCTAGTCTCATGCTCTACGTACTTCTACGTTCTTGGTTCGCTTGTGGATACAACCCTGTGTTGCTAAACGGTCCGAATTCACTCCGCCGCTGGACAAACGGACACTCGTTTTTTCGCCATCATTTTTTACGCCAAATTGTCCTCAACCTCGTGGTGACATCCTAGTTGACACTTGGCACTGGATACCATTGGAGTTCTATGAGCTTCAACCACCCCTACGCATTTTAAAAGCGGTTGTTGCCTGTTGCAGCACTGTTGCATATTGCTGTCTTCGCACACACGTACACAGGATATTTATCAGTGGTTTGGCTAACATTCTTAGTTGCAGGTTAAATTCCCAAATCTTCATCACTAGTGTCTTTTGCCTGTAATTGCCTCACCGCTTGCATTCACGGCTCTGAGTGGCTCTCAGAACTACTCAGTCCTACGGTAACTATGGTTCATCATGGTACGGGTGAAAGTATTCTTCCTCCTTTTCTTCCATCCCAACTTAATGTTTCACTTTATTTTTCAGTGCTACGAATCAACCTTAAGGCAGCTGCAAACCCCTCCTCTGGACAACAAGACTTAGGAGACATTCTTCGGACTTACCGATGTTCCCAGTTGAACACGTTTTCCACACCCGTTTGACAATGAGTTGCCAACTGCTTCCTCATTGTAAATTCTTCATTTTAACGTATTAATAAACACGTAGTCCATGATTTTACTTAGCTTTGGATGCCCAGGAAAATGTGGAACTGACTGTGTAGCTTTCATCGTAGAACATTCAAAGCGATAGCTTCATCTTGAAGATGCTTATATTCCTGATCTTATGCGCATGTGTCAACGCCATGGAACAGATCGTTGTGTTCCCAGTATTACACTTGCACCGTACTACACTAGTTATCACGACTGAGAGAAGTCACAAATATGTTATCTGTGTTGCTTGTGCTGCACAACCCACGCCTCAAATTCAATGTCAACCCAAAGGAATAAGTGGGATGAGGCATGTAGATGGAGCCACGATTGATTCCGAGCCTGATACTACTCCTTCACACGAATGGATGGAAACATGGATACCAGACGTACACAGGGCAGTGGCTGTGCGATAGCCCATTCCTGGATGGAACCACTCTTCGAACGTAGTACCATATATATATATATATATATATATATATATATATATATATATATATATATATATATATATATATATATATATATATATATATATATATATATATATATATATATATATATATATATATATATATATATATATATATATATATATATATATATATATATATATATATATATATATATATATATATATATATATATATATATATAGCGAGTGTGAGAGTGAGAACATTAAGCCATCAAAAACAGTGGAAGTCATCTGGAAGAATAATTTGAGCACAATTGGTACGGAACGTTTTTGTTGGTTTTCCACATACCAATTCTTTCTCAATAGTTAAGGCGTTTAACGTGTGAGTCCGGGCAATTCTGCATACAGTTCTTTCACTGACTTCGGTTTCGCGCCACGTCTTCAAACCTTTTAGGGCGTCTACAATCCTCATCCTCTTATCTCCTACCGGGAATAGGTATAGATCCAACGACGGCTAAACAACGTTAACTTTTTCATATGCTATCGCCAGGTGGAAGGCTAACCATTATGCGGTCGCTTCCAGCCCAGTCCTGCACGTGTGGGTAGGACGCGGCTCGATAAATGCCCAGACGCCAGGCGTAAGATGTGACCATACCATCTCAACTGGCTCAGTAAAACCAGCTTATTGTAGGGATACTCTCATTCCCCAGGACGCGACGTCTACCGTCACCACTGTGTATTCGGTTTTGTCATTACACATGATTAATCCTTTCTAAATAACTATTATCCAAGGCGGAAAAACTGCGTATGTCCTCCACTTGAGTTAGCCAGGACTCGCTCCTATACAACAACACTGAACGAAAGGAGGCACTGTAAACGCGGCTGTTTACCGAGATCCATCACAATGAGACTGGACCTTACCGTGCTGCGATGGTTTGCGTGCCTCAGCGATTCATTGAGCTATGCTGGATGGTACTTTTTTGCACCTTCAGAGCCACTCATACCAGATTGGTCAATGGTTAGAGGTCAGACAAACTCAGCCTCCTGGTTCTCCAGGTTGGGGGTGGGAATGTAGGTGGCTCCTTGTTTCTTAAAACGGACTCCTTGTAGCCCAACGCCAAACCCGCTGTCTTGCGATTAGGTTTTTGAACCGAAGGCTTTGGTTGGGAACCCTAATAGTTTCTCTGCCTAGGCTTAGGCAACCTAACAGTATCTTGCCCACGCAAAACAATGAATTTCTTTTCAAACAGTTTCTTGATGCTCTGGCCACAGCAGAGGATAATAAACGGCGCCCTATCTGGCGCATCGAGCTGGTTGGATAGGGGTTTGAATGCTACTGCTCAAGCCTTCCCGTCTTCTTATTCCTCCTCTTACATTTTTTTCACTTTTACCGTCCCGTCCCAGCTTCACGTTTATCCCCCCTGTTTTCAAACCCCATTTCTTGGCCCTCCCCCACCTTACTCTAATAGGCTTTTCGTTTCAACTCCTCCTTCTTGTCCTGTCGACAAACCTATGTCAAAGCAAGTGGTCAAGTCCAGTTCATCGGCTTCTATTTGAAGCCCTTCAGATTGGTATGCCTCAATGTACGCACATTGCTCAAATCCGACTGGAGTTAGCTGCTCAAATAGTACGGGACTTATGACATTAGAATTCCACAATTCCTTCAACGAGCTCGTGATTTTCGTCTTATCCTCTGTGCTTCTAACTTTCGCGGCTTTGTATCGCTGAAATATAAGCGAAACAGTACGCTGCTTGTACTATCGGGCTGACAAAATTTGTAATCCGGAAACTTTGGAAAGCGAAAATTATTGCATCCTCAGGACGCTACAGGATAATGGTTACCCCGTTCCGTTCATTCGGTGGTACCCTGTGATCCATAAACGAGGAGAAACCACTGTGACGGGGCCGAAACAGGATGTTTATCTTTCTGTTCCTTTTAAAGGAGATGTCGCCTTCATATTATTGAACAGGAAACTCCAAAAGGCAATAGCCAAGTCGTTTCCTGCTGCCCACCTACATGTTACAGAAACTGTCCCGTTTATTTCCCAACGTCTTAAGGATCGACTCTCGGTCATGTCCGAATCCTTTATCTTATATCAATTTACTTGCACCTGTGGTGTAAACTACATCGGACACACGACCAGACGCTTGGCTAAACAGATGGCAGAACATTACCCAGTGGCATTATGAAAGCGCACAGTTAGATATATCAACAGCTCTAATTTGGAACATTTACTCCAAAGCAGGCATCAATTTGCCACTTCGGAAGCTTGTCAAGTTTTCTACGCCGCACGAAAACGCTACCCAAAAGGGAGTAAAGAGCGCCTATTAATGACGGTCGAGGTTATTGCGCTCCGACTAGTGCGACCGGAACTATGCAAAAAGAGGACTCTATCGCAGGCGCTACATTTTCTTTGGCCTTGATTTTACCCTGATCGCCACTTGATTCCACCCCAGGCGGGGATCCCGTGACCCCATATGCGTTAGGATCTTCATGGATCGGAGAGTTAGAACAACTTCTAAAGCAATCCTAGCCTAGTTGTCTTAGTCTATCACAATGTGAACCATTTTTAGATATGTATTAAGAGAAATATCAAAAAAAACTTATCACTGAAAAGCTTATTTGTATTCCTTAATGCTCTGGCCGCCGCAGAGGATATATATATATATATATGTATAACACTTTAGCAATTACATTACACTTGACTGAGTGCCATAACACATAAGATGGAAGAAACAGATTGAAATGGAAAACTACTCTTTGGGTAGAATTGTCTCACAGCAAGTGCGCCATTGCGTCCGGTCCTTGGCCATATCCTCCAGCGTTCGCAACCAAACGTGCTGGCATTCCTTTCGTCCCCAACCCGGGATTCGGGAACTACCTGCAGCAACCAGCTTCGACTTTTGCGCCTTAATACATTGGTCCACTTTTTGCTCTGGCCTCCTTGTCGTCACTTCCATCCCACGCCTGCGCTCTCAAATGGGTCACCTCTTTTTTATCCGCTGGGTTGGCATGCGGAGCACATGCCCAAGCCAGCGAAACCTCCGCAGTCGGCGGAGTTCGTTAGATCTGACGACTCGCCGACGGATTTCCTCATTACTGATGTGATGCTGCCATCGAACATCAGCACTACTTCACATGCAGCGGTGAACGAAGACAGATAGCCGCTGAACATCGCTTTTGCCAACGGGCCAAGTCTCACATCCGTACAGCAGAATCGCTCGTACCGTCACATTGTGGACTCGTCTCTTGAGAGCGAGGCTGTGGTCACGACGAAGTCACAGGTGACGAAGGTTAGCGAAGGCGACTCTAGACTTCGAGACACGGAGGGAGATTTCATCCGTCAAACCGCCAATACTAAGACAACTCCCCAGGTAAACCAATTTGTCGACCACTTCCAGCCGATGCCCTGAAAGTGTGACAGAAGGACATACACTTGTCCAGTCCTGTAACAGGACCTTTAATTTGGAAGAGGCAAAGGTCAACCCAAATTGGGAGGCGGACATCTCCAGTTTAAGCAGCACATGATGGGCGACTTTCGAGGACTCGCAAATCACAGCGATGTCATCGGCGTACTCTACTTCCCGAAGGCGGTCACCAAGGAGCAGTTCGATGCCGGAGGACAGAGTTTCCCAGGGCAGTATCCAGAATCTCGTCCATGACGAAGTTGGACAAGGATGGAGCGGCTAGGCAACTCTGTCTAATGATACTGAAAGGGGGTGAAATGTCTCGGTATACTCGCATGCATTCCGAAGTTTGGTGGTAAATGACACGGAGAATGCTTATGTACTTCTCAGGTATTCCCCTCTTCAGTAAGCAGTTCCAAAGAGCGACTCTGCCAACCAGAGTCAAATGCAGCTCGAATGTTCAAGAATGTGACTATAGTTAGTGGACTGAACATATGGCGATGTTCAACTATCTGACAGATCGTAAAGATGTGATCGACGCAACTGCGATCTGGGCGCAATCCAGCTTGTTGTTCACATACGTGCTGTTTCCGTACGCAACTGAGTCTCCGCAAGAGTAGGGCAGCGAACGGTTTGGATGCGACATAAATGAGACTCTCACGATGGTTGGAGAAAATGGTCCGGTCTTCCTTTTTGTAAATAGGTACAACATCCGCTAAATTCCCGTCGGATGGAATGGTTTCAGTAGTCCAAGTTCGGCGAAAGAGAGATGTCAGTATGCGAGTGAGAGCAGGACCCCCATATTTGAAGAGGGCAGGAGGAAGTTCATCTGGGCCAGGTGACTTGTGGCACTTAACTAGGCGAAGGTCACAGGAGACCTCAGCCTCAGTCGGTGGATAAACATCCACGCGCCACGGAGCACTGTGAACCCCGGGAGATGGACTCGGTTGCGCTAGTCGCCAGTTGAGGTGATCTTCAAATTGCTCTGCCCAACGTACCGTACGACAGTGACGACTGTGAATTAGTTCACCGTCATTTTCACGCAAAACCACTCACTGTTAGTCTTGTGCCTCCCTTGGAGTGAATAAGTTGGAAGAGTTTGCGCGAGTTTCCTGATGACGCTGCCCGCTCAATCACAACGACGCGCTGTGTCCACCAGACTTCGCGATCCTTCCTGAGGAGCTGTCTCAGCTCAGCACCTGT